TTTCTGCATATTCTTATTCTGTAAGCCATTTTCTATATTAAATTTTTATTTGGTTAACTTTTTGAACTTTTTTGTTGAAAACTAAGTCAAAAACATGCTATAACTGTGGCTATACAGGGTCAGGATCAGTACCACTGTGTCCCACCTCCACATCTTGTCCCATTGGAAGGTGTTCAGGGTCAATAACACATGGAGCTGTCATCTTCTGTGATAGTAGTTCCTTTGCCCCTTGAAGGACCTGCCTGAGTCTGTTTTACAGTAAACTTTTTTTTTTTTGTAAAAATAGAAGGACTGCACTCTAAAATAACAAAAATAAAGTGATAACAGTTGTTACTATCATTAACAAGTGTTAGACTGTGTATATGGTTGTATGTGCTGTGCTGTTACATAGCTGGTGGACAGTAGGTTTTCAAAAGCATCACCACAAACAGTAAAGAAGTAACAAGCTGCACCCTGACACTACAATCTACAATGGCTGCAGTGTCACTAGGCGATAGGAACTCTTCAGCTCCAGTGTAGTCTTATGGGACCGCTGTCATCCATTCAGTCCGTTGTTGACTGAAATATTATTATAAGGTATGTGGCATGCACATAAGGAGTCAGAGAACTTGGATTTCAGTCCTAGATATATCTCTAAGTGCCTCTTCTGGGCTGCTCCAAGACGAAGCATTAGTAAAAGGTCAAGGATTATTTTAATAGCATTTCTGCTCCTTAGCCCTCACTTCCAGCCCTTCGTCAGTTATGTTAAAACTGATGATTCGTGCAGCATCATTTGATGTTTTAGTGGCAGGCTCTCCCCTTCCTCCCAGTTAGGGCACTGAAGCTCAGTGACTGCTCCTGCTCATTAGATGAGTCAGAAAAAAGCCAGTGCCCTGGGTCTCCTGCCGACTGAATGAGAACAGACGATCACCAGTTTTTTCATCGATTGAAAACAATACCTGGGAGACTCATTTTTTAATAAGCAAAGGCTTGCTGGGCTTCAGTGTATTTGATGCCTTGCCTCATTTGGAGGCCTTTCCCTCCTCCTCCTGTTCTCAGTTTCTGTATTTTGGTATTAAGTAATTTGCCCACTTCATTTCATTTCTTGGTTATTCATTAGAATTTGAAGAAAGTGGCTTTATTTTTACTGAAAACTGATTTTCTATAACCCTGAGAGACCATATTTCACAGATATGAGGCTTTCATGATAAAATTTTATAGTGTCCACTGTAGGTTTTTATGTGAGCGTCCTCCAGATAATCTCTGCTTTCAACAGTACACATTCAGAAGCCCACTCATAGGGAAGCTCCAGTTCTAGTTACTGTTGAATAATAAGCATATTCCATCCTCTTTCCCACTGGATGCAGTCAAAAAATACTGTGGAATGTTTGTAGCAGCTACTTGAGACTCAAAAGTAAATGTTAGCTGGCAGATTGGGGAGGGAAACCAAAATGTAAAGGATGGGGGATCCAGGTTTCCTGTTTGTCTCTCCATGTACTGACCTGCCTGGACTTAAAGGCAACACAAATCCTAGAACTGTATTCCCTGCAGGCAGAGCTTCAACAAAATCCCTTTCTCTCTGGCCCAGGGAAGAAAAGTCATTCTGGGACAGAGACTGGGAGAAACCCTCCCCATTTCCTTGTGACCTGTGAACATTCAGAATGTGGCATGTCTAGACTTTGTCTGGACATAGTTATTTGAACACATAGAATTTTACCATTTTATTTTGTTTTCCCCTCTTAATATGGGAAAATGCTTATGCCATTGCTGTCCTACACAGTTATCGGAAACTTATTTTTTAATAATTTATTAAGCAGTCAGCCTGGTTCAGTTCTTCTCATACTTTCATGCACATCTGCATCACCTCAGCTTTTGGGTCAGTAGGTCCAGCTCTGACAGTTTACTTACTCAAGTTAGACTCCCCATCTTGGCCAATACTGCCCCTGAACCAGACCTTGGACAGCAAGGGAGCTATTTGACAGTCCTCACAAATGTTGTTTCCATTTTGCAGCTTGTTACAATGAGATGTTTGTGCAAAAAGCTTTTCTTCATATTTGGGGTCATTTCTTTAAGGTAGACTCCTAGAAGCAAAATGGGCTCAGAGGTTATGGCCATGGAAATTGCTGGTAAACTGTGGTGATCTTTACAGAGGATTTTTGCCAGTGGTCATAAACTAGATGATATCATGATGGCTCAGGATGGTTCAGCCACCCAGGGTCACAGAGTAGGTCATTGGGAGAGTCGTGATGTTAACACAGAGTGATTTGGCCTGCTCTTGCAGGCTTGGCCATGTGAAGAGCCACTGCTCTCTCAACTCCTCCCCAACACCAGCATGTTCCTTGGTTTAAGGCTGTGCTAACTTGACCTGGGAAGACATGAGCTCCTATCAGGTTAATTTTTATTTCTATTTGTTTGACAGTTTGTGCCTCTATCTGGTCACATCCTTTGTCCTTGAATAAATTCTGTTTGCTGAGTTGGCCTCATTTTACTTAATTTCTATGTGCTGTGTACATGATAAAAAACATTAACTTGTCTCTGCTGCAGTTTTGTAATTTGTCTTGTACTTTGCTTTTTTAAACATAATTAAGTATTTTAGATCATTGTAAACATCCGTCCTCTTTTCCCTTTCCCCACTAGACTTGGAGAGGCTTTCCGTGTTTGGCTAACATGGGAAAATATTTTAAAAAGAAGGCTTAAGGATTTTAAGGACACCTGTAAGAAGTACAGCATTGATTTATTTATTTTTCCTGTTTTCCTCCGTGCCACGTTAACTTCGTTACTTCTCTTCCTCTCCCCCAACACATACAGTCTCCTGTGAAGATTTGCTTGCTAAAATGAGGGGGTACATTATGAGGAGAAGCCACCTTGGTAATGTGATTATAGTTTTAACACAGAGGGAGTTAGGGAGGATCATTTGAAATAGTCTAAAATGAGGAGATATGTCCAATTTTTTTTTTTTGATGTAACTTTCTTGTATGTATTATCCATTGTTATGACAGAACTAAACCAAACTTTTAATTTGAGATTTTAGAAAACTGTATCATGTTTGTATAATTATGCAATTTTAAAAATGTTCTATCAAATTTGTTCTGAGACACAATGATGACTTGGCCCTAACCCAATTCTGGCTACTTTTCCCCTTCATTTTAGCTCTTTGGTCTGAATTTTGTGGTATTTACTGCCCCATCTTTAACTCATTTTACAGATTTTTTAAATATGTTTACTCCTGGGTCTCTAAGTGTTGAGGGAACATTTCTGCTCTGTGACTTTTGGATGCAGACTTTCCCTTTTACTGACTTCCTGCTGTGGAAGGCCAGGCTTTCCTGTCCTGTGCCTTGTCCTTACTTCCTCCATCTCTGCCCATCCCCACATCACACCTTCAAGCTTCTTGTCCTGCCTTCCCTCTGCAGTTCTCTATCGTCTGTTTAGCTCAATATTTAGGGCCTATATTATCAGAGTTCTGGAAGTGCTACTCACAGCTAAGCCATGTGGTTTCCAATAGTTTTCTTTTTCTGCACAATTTTCTTTTCCCTGTAGAGTAAGTAATTGCTGTTTTGCTTTCATGATTTTTCCTTGTGCTTATTCATCTCGAAGTTGACTCTCCTCAGTTTGGTCAGAGGCATTGGAGTGTTCTGTTAGCCTCATCTCCTGGAAGTCGTCTCTCCAGAGAGCTACAGCAAGGTTCTGTTTTCCCTTTGCTGGCAACCTGGCCAGACCTGTTTCTTCCTTTCCTCCATGTTACTCACTTTGTGGAGCATATCCTCTGTAATTCCTAGAAAAGAGTTTATAGGTGGGCAATATCTTAAAATCTTATGAATATAAAAAAGGCTTTAGTTTATCCTTTAGTTTATGCTTGATTGTAATATGTACCGGTATAGAATTCTAAGTTAGAAATCACTTTTCATAAGAATCTGAAGGCATTTTTTCAAAAGCCTTCTGTTTCCCATTGTTGCTTTTAAAAGTCTGATTCTAGTGATCCTTCATATAAAGCTTGTTTTCTTTAATCTGTGGAGACTTTAGCATCTCTTCTTCCTCCCTGTTTTTGAAGTTCTGTGATGCCATCTTGTGATACAGGTCTGTCTGTCTTCTGTTGTGTGGAGCCTTCAAGGATCTCTGAACTGGGAAACATTTATCCTTCATGTGATCTGTGCAGCCTGCCATCCTTAACTAGAAATATTAAAGACTTTTTATAAAGGAAAATTATAATGAAACATGTCTCCCAAAGCCTGGAATATTATCAGTTAATTGTTGAAAAAAGACCTTGGTGATCAAATTGGCCAACAAGAATTTAAACAGGTGCTGACAAGCTTAAAATATAGACAGTTGAACATCGTGTTTGAAGGAACAAATCCAAGTTGCAACAAGTGAGTTGTTAAGTCCATTTAATTACTTTAGTATCCAGCCCAGTCTTGCATCATATGCAGGTAGATTAATTTATAAACTTTTTCACTCCTATTAAAAGTAAAGGCATATAGTGCTACCCACATACTTTCAGAAGATTGAAGACACATTCTGCAGAGTCCCTTGTTTGATGCAATGACTATCCCAGCCTCCTGCTGCTTTTGCTAAGTTAGTAGAATAGTTGTCCTCCCAGGCCAAGCATAGCAAAAATACATCTCTAAAATTTTCTTCTTCCAAAACAGCAGTTTTTGTAAGTAGGTCCACTGATTTTTCTCTGATAAAATTATTTAAATTTGGTAAACATTTATTGAAATGTGCTGTAAAACATCCAAAAGTTTCAAAGCCAAATGCTTCATCTATAGAACTGAACTTTCTTCGGGTGCTGCCTATGGAATGGTAAATGTTGAGAGGCTAAATTTCATGGTGTGGATTTTGTGTGTCTTAATAAACCCTAATTCTGTGGTTTGTTTGTTTGGTGGTGCTTGAACCCATGGCCTTGTGCATGCAAGGCAAGCACTCTGCCACCTGAGCTATATTCCCAGCCCAAACCCTAACTCTGGATATAGATAGTAAACATAGCACTATGTGGCTAATAATCTTGTTTTCTTCTCTCCTGCCAGCTTTTTGGAGACTGGGAAGCCCAATTGAGGAGAATAATGAAGCTCATTGCTGGAGGTGGTTTGTCCATCACTGGCTCTCACAACATGTGTGGGGACTATCTGTACAGCGGCCACACGGTCATGCTAACACTCACCTACTTATTTATCAAAGAGTGTAAGTCTAACACAACCATCCATCACAGTTTCCTTACCTGCCATTTTCCAAGGTCTCTGGTCCTTTGAAAAATCATGTTTTGTGGAAGGGCTGCTGAAGGAAGACTGGAGGCTTTAGGAGGGTGGTGGCTTCATCTCATCACCATGCCTGGAATGCAGCTGGCACCCAAAGGGAATATGTGGAAGGACATAAATGTGCTTCTTGCAAGATGTCTTGTTTTCCGCATGTCAGTGTAGTTATGGGGTAGAGGCAGTTTCCAGCACAGTGTACAGGGTGTGTTATGATCAGTGGTACAGCTCTGTAAGGAACCAGAAATTTCATAAGGACACAGAAATCCAGCATTGGGCCTGGTTAGATGATAGAAGCTCATGTATTGACTTTGTGGTTATGTTTTCAAGCACTTGACACTGTGCCACGTGCTGAAGGTACAGTGATGGGTAAGAGGATTCTCTGCCCTCAGGCCATGGGCTTAGGGATGAGGCGGACACTAAATGGGACATTTCCTTTAAGAAGCATACTTAAAACATTCTATTGTGAAACAAAGCCAGACATGATGGCACATACATGTAATCCCAGTTACTTAGGGGGCAGAGGCAGGAAGATTGCAAGTTCAAGGCTGGCCTCAGCCAAGAAGCAAGATTCTGTTTCAAAATAAAATATAAAGGGCTGGATATAGCTCAATGGTAGAGCTCTTGCCTAGCATGTGCAAAGCCCTGGATTCAACCCCCGGTACTGCCATAAATAAATATTAATAATATTAGTACTTGTAAAACTAACAAATTAACATTATAGATAACCCCATATGCTGCTCAAATATAGCATCTAGAATTTTGCCTTATTTGCTTCAGATTACCTTTTTCAAAAGAAATAAAATGATAATATGTGATTAAATCCTTTCCTTCTCTCATTTTCCTGCATCATTTCTAAGCTTATTTTTGTATTTGAGAATTGGGTTTCATGGTTTTAAAATTTTATATAAATGGTTCCATGCTACATATATATATTCCTCTACCATCTTTTACTCTCAAATTTTGTTTTTGAGACATGAGACTTGGTTCATTCATTTTAATTGCTATTAGTATTTCAGTACTATAAGTTAACCGTTTATTCAGTTCTCTACTTAGAGGAAATTTAGTGGTACTTAGCTTGGCATAGTGGCTCATGCCTGTAATTTCAATGACTCAGGAGGCCGAGGCTGGAAAATCACTATTTTGAGGCCCACCACGGCAACTTACAAAGTCCCTGTCTCAAAATTAAAAAAAAAAAATTAAATAAAGGACTGGAAATACAGTTCAGTGGTACATGCCCTGGGTTTAATCCCTAGTAACAGAATGGGGGTGTGGGGGAAATTCAGTGATACTCAGAATTTTACTGCAAAAAGCAATCTAATGAGCATTATGCAGGCGTTTTCCATGAAAGGCAAAAAGTAAAATCAGACTGCCATGCTTTCACAGAGGTGGGATGTACATTGCAATCTGGAGGTGTATTGGGAGCATTGTTGTCCTCTCTGGGAATTAATGTGACTGGAGTTTTCAGTGAGAGCAATAATGAGAAATGAGGAGGGATAGGTAAGTAGTAAACAGATTGTGGAGGGTGCCCTAAGCCACAATAAGGAATCTGAACTTCCATCTGATGGAGATGGGTGTCTATCAAGGGGTCGGAACAATGGAGCAGTACCATCTTCTGTGTCCTTCAGAGAAGGAGAAACCACTCTTGGCAGCAGGTTGTAAGATGGACTAGAGAGGGATTAGAATGGAGACCAGGAGAAAAGTTGGTTGATTGTTGTTAGAATCAAGGAAAAAAATGGCGGTACCTTGAACTACCATGGTGGCTTTGGGGATGGAAAGAAGCAGAAGGTACTGAGAGACATTAATAAAAAGAGTCAACAGATAACACATAACAGTATAGATTATGAGCGTAGAGGACAGAGGTGGTGAGCTTGGTTAAAGTTTTGTTCTGGTTTTGAAAACTAAGGTAAGGGAGTACTGGAAAAAGAAAGGGAGAATTGATGTTCCTCTACTTGTATTTAGTATGCAGTCACAAATAGTGAATTCTAGCAGTTCTATTGAGAATTCAATGGATGTAAAGCAGCCTTTGGTATTGGGTAATAACCAGGTGTGGAAAATGGGAACCTTAGAGGCCAGATGCTGACAGCCCTGAGGAAGGGATTCCTGCCCTCTGCTGGCTAATACTGAAATCTTTTAATGCTGTCAAAGCTTATTTCAGCAATAAAGCATTGTGCCATACTAGGAAATGCAGAGGCCTTGTGTCATAGACCTCTTGATTTTGAATCCTGGTGTTACCATGTGCCAGCTCTGTGACCCTGTGAAAAATCTGCAATTTAGACTCTGAGTCTTAGTTTGTCCTCATCCAAGAATGATGTACTTGGATACTAATACTAATAGAGTTACACAGAGAATAAATTGTAGCTATTATTTGTTGTTGTATTGTTAAGGTACCAAGTACAAGTATTACTGAAATATATCCCTGCCATAACTACCACTTTAAAGTTGTAATCTGCCCTTCACTCCACCTTCTTCTGACCCCTTATCTTGCTCACCTTTAAATTTCTCCAGAGCCTTTAATATCTTCTAATATAGTATGAAATTTAGTTATTATAATCATAGCCTCTGGTCTCTCTTCCCTCCTAGGAAGTGTCTCCTCATGAGGGCAGGCCCTTTCCCATCTCTGCCCATTGATCCTGGTAACCAGAGCAGTGCCTGTCCCTGGCATCTGGCAGATGCCCCATGTATAGTGGTTGAATTAATGACATGAATGACTACTTCCTGGACCTCTTAAGAATCCAATAAAAGCCTGTACTTCTCCTCCGGTGTGGGGAAGCTACATTCAAAATTTTTGCCTAAAATTCCAGAGCCTCCGAATCCCTACCCACTGAGAATGCAAGATGGAGAGGTAGGCCTGTACTAGTAGAGATTTCAATATTTCCCTCAGGTGACTCCCCAAATGAAGGTAGAGAAAAGCATTTTTCTGACACATTCCTACCTTTCAGAGGCTTTTGGATGAGAGTTCCCAGGCATTTAATTCTTCTTCTGTTTGTATTGAGAAATGGAAACCTCAGAGACTTTCAGATGAGTTGTACAATTGTGGAACTTGAAAAGCAAATAAGACAGTTGTATTGGTTATGATCGCTTAGTTCATGTATGGAGATGTATGGATCAATAGATACTGATTTTTGTAAAGAGCATTAACCCCAAATTAGCTACAGGTAAATTGGGCTAAAATGTCAGTGAGCAATATTTTAAATGGAGAAGCATAATGCATTAACCCATCCTTGATTAAACTACTCTTTTAAACTGCATTGATTATATCAGTCAAGTAATAATCAAATCTGAATTACTACTGCTGGTAGTAAAATCACTATGTAAAAAGTTATTTCCATTCTAACCTTGGTTACAGATAAAAATGAAAGCCTCTAGATTTACTAGCCTAAGAGATCTGTTTTCAGAAGGGAAGACCTAAGGTAATTAGACTCAGAAGCACTGTAGCAGAGGCATGGTGGGTATCTTCTTGAGTGTTATTTGGATGATGGGACTGTTGTACATTTCTCCTTTTTTCAGATTCCCCTCGACGACTCTGGTGGTACCACTGGATTTGCTGGCTTCTCAGCGTCGTTGGAATCTTCTGTATTCTCTTAGCGCATGACCACTACACTGTGGACGTGGTGGTAGCATATTATATCACCACAAGACTCTTCTGGTGGTATCACACTATGGCCAATCAGCAAGTGAGTCCTCCCTGCCCCTGTTGGATGTTAGATCTTGTTGTTCTTGGATAGGTGCTGCTGGCTTGAGCAGGGAATGCAAAGAATCCACAGATGTCTTATGCGTCCTTTTCTTTCTTCTTGTTTTTGTTTGGGTCTGGTTTGGTTTTGTTTTAGGCAGGGTCTTGCTGTGTTGCCCAAGCTGGTGTTGAACTCCTGGGCTCAAGCCTCAGCCTCAGCCTACCAAGTAGCTGGGGATAGTGTGACACCATACCCAGCAAAATGTTTCTTTTTAAAAATATATATATATTTTTATAGTAGATGGATACAATACCTTTATTTCACTTTTATGTGGTGTTGAGGATCAAACCTAGTGCCTCACACACTAGGCGAGTGCTCTATCAGTTGAGCTATAACCCCAGCCCAGCAAAATGTTTCTTAAAGTGTAGTCAGCTAATATTGTGCTGTCTTTTGTGACATTGATCCTCTTGAGAATCAAGATGAAAAAGTATTTAATATAAGGACACAGGAGAATATGTCTTCTAAAACAAGTACCATACTCTCATTGTCTATGAAAAAGATTTTCTGAATCTGTGTCCACCCATTGCTAGATTTGCACTCTTACCCTCTTCTCATTACTCTGAGTCCATCACCAGTTTAATACTTAACATTTCATTAAGTTTTTCCATTTTTAGCATAGAAAAGCTAACTGAGGTATTTATTAATGGCCAAGAAACAAACAAGCCCCATGTTTTCCTTGCCCTGCTAGTATTGGGGTTATTTGGTTTTCTGCTGGGAGGGGCCCATGGGCAGGTATGTGAAGAGTATAGTGATCAGAGGATGAAGCTGGGTTGTCTGAGTGGCCATGGGCAGGTCCAAGGTTCTTCATGAATTTGAACACAGGAAGCATTTGAATTTAAAGTAAAAGATTGTGAAAATGTGTTTCTTTGTTATCTTAGGTGCTAAAGGAAGCTTCCCAGATGAACCTCCTGGCCAGGGTGTGGTGGTACAGGCCATTTCAGTACTTTGAAAAGAATGTCCAAGGAATTGTACCTCGATCTTACCATTGGCCCTTCCCCTGGCCAGTAGTGCACCTTGGTAGGCAAGTTAAATACAGCCGGTTGGTGAACGACACATAACAGCTGTGCTGAGTGGGGAAACAGGAACTGTCCGAAGTGCTAAGAACTCCATGAGAGAAGATGCCATAAAATAAACACCTCCCTGACCCTGTTATCTTTCAAGAGTTACCTTGACTTAACCTATTGAGTTACCTGGTCAGCACTGTGATCTTTTTTTCTCTCCAAAGGACCTGCGTTGGACAACAATAAAGAAAATCTAACCTATCATGCACTGTCCACATTTCCTGTTCATGAGTTTGGGATTTACATAACCCGCAGCCACCATGTTCCTTTGTATATGATGCAACAGCATAAATGTAAGCTTTTATATCATAAGTTCTGGTCTTTCCAGTCATATCTGGAAATAAAGCGTATTATTTTCTTGGGAAAACATACTTTTCATATCTCTTGCCCCAAAGATTGGGCTGTAAGCCATTTTCTAGCAAATGTCTCTATGAAGGTTTCTAAGTACCTGAATGGGGTTCGATTCTGAAATCTTTCTACCTGTTGCACCAATATTCAAATAAAAATGACAGACACAGAGAGGTTTGGTAACTTTGGGTTTTGTAAAATCAGCAGAGACGGTGTGTAAAAAAGTGCAAAAAAAAAAAAAAGATTCTGTTATAAGTGATTTTCTAAGTATTTCCTAACTTTATTTTTCAAAATGATGTTATGAAAACCAAATTTAAAGATTTTTACATGTCAGAGAGAAGAGAATTAAAATTTAAAAATGCTTCTTGGGAGAGAAATTTGTCTATGTTTCTAGTGCCTTTCTTGTCTTGATTGTATGGTCAGTAGGCGATCTTAAATGTTTTTATTTAAAATAAAGTATTCCATGAAAATATAAATGTATGTATACACTACTAAATTTTGCATTTATAGCTAAATTAAATCAGAAGACTGCTTATGGTTTTAAAATTGCTTTGAATTAAAGAATGGGGGTGTTAATTAGAGAGTGGAAGCCTGTTCACACATTGTGAGCAGGTGACAATGACATGTACCACTTAAATTATTTTATTGTCTTTTTGGTAGTTCAATTTTAACTACTCAATGAAAACAGCCATGAATATCTTTTTTTAAAGAGAGTTTTGAAAATGATCACTTATCTAAAACTTGAAAGCTACAAATTAGTTATCCATACTCATGACAATTTTGTTGGTGAACAACAAAAAAGAGATCTATTTCTTTAAAATATATTTGTGCAGAAACTGCATGTAACTCTAAGTTTTACTCCTAACATATGTATGTTTGGGGAAGTATTCTATTCTATACTTGCCAATGTGGAGAACAAAATAGTTTTTTAAGAATGAAGAAGTATATTATATCCATTCTGTATTTTACGTGCAACAGAATTATCTTCTGTAGGGTTTTTTTGTGTATTCACAAGGTGATATTTGTATTGTAAAACAATAATGGTGAAGGAAATAAAAAGGCTTTTAAAATTTTGTTTGTTTTAAATCTTTGTAAAGTTATTATTCCAGAGAGTATACTGATATCTTACAGCTTATCTAGATCGTACATAATCAAAAAGCACTTTTTAATAAAAACTGATACTTAAAATAAATGTCTATTATTGCTAATGTTTTCACATTCTTCACAAAATCACAACGAAGTCATTATAACAAAGTGGGGTTTCTTTACTGAGTTTAACACAGGGCCATTAGTAATCATCAGTTTCATTTGTGATTCCTTAAAATGTATTCTTTAGTTACCACTACAGATTGGTATATAAAAAGTGTATTTAAAAACCTTGCAGATAAGTTGAATTCACACTGTACACCTTTGTTTTCTGACAGTTTTGAATTTTCTAATTCTCAACTAAGCCACTCACTTATTTTTTCTTATAGCTTAGAACTAATACAGCTTTTCCAGTTTAAATGGAAAGCAAAAGAAAATCTGAAGTGAAAAACAGTGATAGTATTGATAACCATGGTAATAGAAAAGAACTCTTTAAAAAGAGAAAAAGCCAACGATGATTATTTCTGATGTGAAGGAGGAAGGTGTTAACAGTGGAAACCTATCTTGGTTGAAAGATGTGTTCTGGGAAGCTAGAGATGTGAAACCAGTAGAATGTTCTTGCATGGGACTTTGAGCATGTGTGCCAGACAGAGGAAATATGATGTGCTCTCAAGGCAAACAGCAAAACTCTAGGATAGGACTGTGTTTAACTCTGTTGACCAGGTGCTCCATATTGAGAGGGAAAATAAGTTGAGTAAATAGAAATGAACTATTGGCACATGCTAAGAAGAGAATGTTTTTCCAAAGACTATTGAAATAATTATATTAAAAATTCATAACTTTGCATATCATATATTTACCAGGACATTCACTTGCTGATTGCCTAACTGTTCTGATGCATGAGTTGATGTACCATGTGGTTCTTCTACTCTGCATATTCCAGGAAAGACTAAGAGAAACTTCTTTATATTCTGGAAAATTGTGGTGCACTTGATAATGACTGCCTGAATAAGCACAAGTACTCTTTTGCTAAGCTAAAGCCCTAGACAATAGCTTCCATCATTTTATTAATTTTACAACTTAGATACTTAACATATATTAGTATCATACAACCACAAGGTGTAGGTTTTCCCCATTTTACAGATGAGCCTACAAAAATGACACAGATACATGAAATAATTTGTCCGGGAACATGCAGCTGATAAAGTGGTGAAAATCCAATTGGAATTCAGGTTTCCATCCTCCCCTACCAAAACTTTTGAGCTTTCATAAATTCTGCAATAGGAGTCTTTAGGAGAAATTTCTGCCAGTGGTGGCACATTGAAGCAGAATGACTTACTAATGGACTGAGTAGCGGAAAATTCACACTATATGATGTGAGAAAATTTTGCCAGTTTCCTAATTCTTTTTTCTCCCAAGCACATACCAAAATTGATGTTTGATAGTTTTTTTAAAAACATCATAAATGTATAAAATGAGAATGCATGCCATCCTTAAGTTGATCACCATTATATGAAAGGTCAATCAACCAGTTTGTTTTTGTTGTGTGTGTATATTGTTTTTTTTGTTGTTGTTGTTGTTTGTTTGTTTGTTTGTTTTTGCTTTTTGCAGTGCTAAGTAGCAAATCCAGGGCCTGGCACATACTAGGCAAGAGCTCTATTATTGAACTACATCCCCAGCCCTGTCAACCAGATTTTGAATTAACTAGGAAACATGATTGTTGAATTATTTCTTATTGATATCCTTATCTTTTTCTCCCTATAGTCAGAAACCTTACTTTGATCAAATCAAAACTGTTGATTTGATATTCTGCTTACCAGTACTTTAAAATACTTTCATATCTCCTAAGAGAATAAGTTAGAAGGAAATTAAGTGATCCCGTCATCAGAGAGACCTTTCAAATTAAAATGACAGTTGACATAATTCAATGAATATCTACCAATTATAATTCTTTTCCATTTGTTACATTTGTACTATTTCCACCTCTCTTTTTTCCTGCCTTCCTCTATGGACATTATATGATTCCGTTTTATGTCTTAGTTTGCCAGTTAAACTTTTTTAAAAATGCATAAAGTGGGCTTGCTTACCTGTGTTGCCTAAGGTTCATTACTTGGGAGGCTGAAGAGGGAGGATCACTTGAGCCCATAGGGTTCAAGATCAGTTAGACAACAGCAAGACCCAATCTCAAAAAACAAGCAAATGAACAGAAAATGATGGTTGTTCTAGAGTTTATATTTTTACGTAACCAAAGCCTGTCTTTGAGTGTGGTGCAGGTGATAATGTTGATTTATAACACTGATGTTACTCACTTCACTTACCAAATGCCATAAACACCAAATACATTGCTGATGTTACTACTTTAACAATCCGTTGTCTTTTAGGTCAATTAAGGAAAATGAAAGATTTTGTTTATCTTTGTTTATTCTCTTAGGCCTTTCTTTATGTAGAGTCAAACTTCTAATCTACATCATTTTCATTCTGCCTGAAAAAATCCCCATTCCTCACAGAACAGGTTTACTGGTGATGAATTCCTTCAGATTTTGTTTAAGAAAAATTTCTCCTTCACTTTTAAAGGATAACTGCTGAATCTAGGTTACTGGATTCCCATCCCCGCCCCAGTGCTTTAAGTGTTTCACTCCACGTTTTATTTACCTGGTTTCTCCTAAGAAATCTGCTTTAATTTTATCCTTATTCCTCTGCAAATAATGAGTGCTCTTTCACTACATTCTTTCAAAAAATTTTTTCGTATTGTTTTCTACAGTTCAAATATGATGTGTCAATTTATTTTTATTTATTTATTTTGGTGTTTGGTGTCCTCTGAGCTTCCTTGATTGGTAGTTTGGTGTCATTAATTTTGGAAAATTACCAGCCACTGTTATTTTAAATATTTCTCTTGTTTTCTGTTTTCTTCCACCTTTCAAATTTGTCTTATAGTTTTATTTTTTTAATTTGTTTATTCTAATTTGTTATACATGACAGAATGCTTTTCAATTCATAGTACATACATGGAGCACAAATTTTCATTTCTCTGGTTGTACACAAAATAGAGTCATACCATTCGTTCTTTATACAAGTACCGAAGATAATAATGTCCATCTCACTGTCCATATTTCCTACCCCCATTCCCCTCTCATCCCCTCCCTCCCCTTTGCCCTATCCAAAATTCCTCCATTCCTCCCATGCTCCTCTCCCCACCCCCCATATGGATCAGCACCCATGTATCAGAGAAATCATTTGGCCTTTGGTTTTGGGGGATTTGCTTACTTCACTTAGCATGATATTCTCCAGCTCCATCCATTTACCTGCAAATTCCATGATTTTATTCTCTTTTAATGCCGAGTAATATTCCATTGTGTATAGATACCACAGTTTATTCATTCATCTGTTGAAAGACATCTAGGTTGGTTCCACAGTTTAGCTATTGTGAATTGTGCTGCTATAAGCATTGATGTTGCTGCATCACTGTAGTATGCTGTTTTTAAGTCCTTTGGGTATAGTCCGAGGAGTGGGATAGCTGTGTCAAATGATGGTTCCATCCCAAGTTTTCCAAGGAATCTCCATACTCTTTCCAGATTGGTTGCACCAATTTGCAGTCCCACCAGCAATGTATAAATGTGCCTTTCCCCCATATCCTTGCCAACACTTATTATTGTTTGTATTCTTAATAGCTGTCATTCTGACTGGAGTGAAATGAAATCTTAGAATAGTTTTGATTTGCATTTCTCTAATTCCTAGGATATTGAACATTTTGTTGATTGATTATATATCATCTTCTGAGAAGTGTCTGTTCATTTCCTTGGCCCATTTATTGATTGGATTTGTGTGTGTGTGTGTGTGTAGTTCTTTGAATTCTTTATGTATCCTGGGGATTAGTGCTCTATCTGTCATGCTTGTGGCAAAAATTTGCTCTCAAAATGTAGGCTCTCTATTTACCTTGTTGATTGATTCTTTTGCTGAGAAGAAGCTTTTCAGTTTGACTCCATCCCATTAATTCTTGATTTTATTTCCTGCACTTTAGGAGTCTTGTTAAAGAAGTCGGGCATAATCTGACACAAAGTAGCAGGATATAAAGTCAATTCCTGTAAGTCAAATGCATTTCTATACATCAGTGATGAATCCTCTGAAAGAGAAATTAGGAAAATTGTAAAAATAGGAGGTAAAAGAATATAGAAGACAACTGTAATATACTATTCAGACATCCCAGTCCTCAGTAGACTAATCCATGAAAAGTGCTTGGTTTCACAAATGTTGGGGATGTGAGGGTGGGAGAAGAGAGAGAGAAAAAAATTCTCAGAGGAAAATTAAAGATTGTTTCTGCTGAAATTCAGTATCTTTCCTGCTTCCCTTCTCATCCAGTAGGTGGGGTTGTGTGTTGTTTGCTGGTATCTCCATCCTCAGGATGAAAGTTACTTGGGTAGTAGGATTGGTCTTGGGGGCGGAGCTCCTGGAAGTAGGCATAGCACTTGCTGGTCCCCCTCAGTGGGGAGACTGCACCCCAAGGATCTCCTTTGGGACCTGTGTGTGTGATGTGGGTTCCGGGTCTTATCTCCTTATATCAGCTGTAGACCTCACAATTCCTGGTCTATAAATTAGTCTCTAAACTGTATCTCACTCACTCCCTCCCTTTCTACTTCACAGTCAGGAACCTCTCCAGAGATCTTGTGGGCTGCACTTTGGGGCCTGTGCACCTGTTGCAGAGAGCTGTTTTGTCTCGGGCAGATCATGATTAGGCATTGTGAACTATGGACAGGCCACATGGACGCAGGCACTGTGCTGGGTTAGTGACTGTGGGGGAGAGAAGGGAGTTAGAGACTATAGGTACCTTGATACTGCTTCTAGGCCCCAGCCAGTGTCCCAAGCTGGGTGTCACTCCAACTAAAGATGGCAATGGTGGTAGCAACAAAGGTGTCCCAATATGGAGACAGCTGCTTTCAGGGATGGGGTGTCAGGTCTGTCCAGGCAGTGGCATTGGACGACGTGTTCAGAG